TTGGTCTATAGGACAACTTACTGTTCAACTATTTCAGATCTGTGGATTCAACACAGAACTAAAAAATTTAAAATTGTACCAATTCTGTCTCTCTGCACAGATCTGAACTTCAGGCACAATCTACAAGGGAAATTCTGTGGATGTGTGTGATCTGTAAATTTCTAAAATGGCTTGCAGCCATGAGAAGTTGCAAGTATAAAAGAAATGGTACAGGTGATGTGGCCTGTAGCCATACATTTGTTGAAGATTACTATGTGCATACATCAGAGACAATTGGAATCAAGTCTTTCAATCTTTTGGTTTTGGAAAGGAGAGAGGTGACTGCGCTCCACTTAAAGTGGATTTGGGTATTAACAGATCTTTGGCCAAAGTAGACAACTTTGTAGACAGATGAGTGGCTTTGCTCCTAAGGGAAATACAGTCCATTTTCTGGTACATCAGGAGACATTTCAACTTTTTTTGAACTCTGGAAAAAAAGTGTCCACTCCTGAACATATGCAGCAATCCCTGGCTAAAGGAGATTAAAAAAAAAAAAAAAAAAAAAAAAAAAAAAAAAAAAAAAAAAAAAAGAAAGAAATGCAATGATTAGACCAATTTTTTTTTTTCTTGTTGTTGTTGTTGCTTGTTTGTTTGTTTTTCTGTGATTGCTTCACCCCAGTAGCATCTCCATTCTAAGCAGACTTGAACCTCATGGTCTAGAAGCATAAGCACATACATAAATCTACATCCCAGCAAGAGGGGAGTTCTGGGAAATTTACAGTATTTTCTACAGTGAATACTGAGCAAATCTGAAAGAATATCACTTTTAAATGATGTTTAAAAATGTGGAATGCAGGGCTGTGAATTAACCATGAGAAAATTATTATTGGCTTAGTGTAAACAGCTGGTTTTTGGATGAAGAGGTAGTTTTCCACTCAGCTGAAAAGCAAGATCCATTTTACATTTTGGGTTGAGAAATTGTTACATATCTTTCATAAGGCAGGAAACAAGTGTTTAACAGACTCATCTGGTCTTTAGAATACACAGAGGAACAACCACCTCTGTTCCCATAAAGAGAGCATTTGATCTTCTTTTTAAGAGAAGCAAGTCATTTCTTAATAACTACTAGCAAACCAGCTATTCATATGGAAGAAACTGCTAGAAAGCTCTGGCAAATCATGTGCCAGCAACTGAACCTCAGCTTCCTTAACATTTGTTTTAGAACCAATTAGGACTTAATATAAGAAAGAAATAGGAGATACAAATCTTGGAATATGGATAAAATCCCTGTCATCAACAATAGATCCATTCCTTACTTTCCTTGGAATGAAGGTTTCATTCACATTTCTGCCAAGAAGAACTTACCAGAGGCATATGCATATAAGACATCATGAAGGTGACAATCATGGGAGAATTCACATCTGAGAAACTGTAATTCTGTAGAAGACTTGTGTTTTCCTTTCTAGGGAAGAATCAGAGAGCAGGCGTTGAAAAACATAGCTGAATGACTTTCATCAGGAGTCAGGAGTAAGCATGGTGCAAGACTTCCTTATTTGACATGGACTTTTGTTTGACTGCAGCGTACCCTATTCTTGCATATATTTCTTTCTTGCTCCATTTTGGTTCTCTGAACTACAAAGACCTCAGAATAACTAAGTCACAATTTTTGTAATTGTTTTTCTGGTCCTCACAGCAACAAGCATGGCTTGTTACCACATAATCTGGTTTTAGTGCTTCAGATCTGATTCCCTTAGGGACAGCAAAAATGAAGAGGCTGATGCAATGTAGGAGGGATGAATCACAACTCATTTAGTAAACACATCTCTGTTGGTGGGATAGAGAGCTTGGGTGGAGTGTAGGGGGAAAGAGCAGCTGCAGGTCCTTTTAGGCCTCTTCAGCAAAAAGATTTGTTCCGTCTTTAACATTTTTCATTAAGCACTTGAACCAAAGTAATGCTCTTAATTGTGGCTTTTTCAGTTGGCAATGCCATCTGCTGGGAGAACTTTTACACTGTCACAGGAGACAGGAATTTAAGGGAAGCATGCACCTTCAAGGGAGCATTAAAGGTGAAGGTCATTCCCCTACAGCCAACTCGACAACAGAATTCAAGATGATTTGGCTGTGGGGTCAGAGCAGGGGCAGTCTTCCTCTCTATTGTTCCAGAGTGAGGCAGGAGTGAAACCAATGAAATCATTGTGGTTTGGGAGCTTCTGTCTTCACAGAGCCATGTGGTCATGCCACAGTTCATTGACTACAATAGATATATGAAGAAAAAGTAAGTGGCCTCTGCTAAGGTCCTCTGCTAAGGTCTGCAATGCCCAACTTTATCATTGGGGTGGGACATACTATCTGTCTTAGAGTACATCTGTACTGGGCTCTTTCCTGTCAAATAACTGAATGTGATACAATTCATACATAGTAGGGTAGACGCATGCCACAGGTGCCAACCTTACTGCCCATATGCTATGCACACAGATATAAATACACTGCTGCTTGCACACCTGTTAAAGAGGTTTTTAGAGAGGGAAGGTGAGTGTAGACTGTCACCACTGTGATGAGTCACAGAAACCCTACGGGACCAATGTCTTTCCTTAGGGTCTCTCACAAGCAGACAAAGCAGGCTACCAGCCAACCAGGTGGTGGTGACAGACAATTCCTCATGGCTGTATTCCTTAGAGACCCCACAGTGCTTTTCTTTCTGTGTCTGGGGGATATCTATAGCCCAGATAGATAAGGCCACGTATCAGGAAGCCCTGAGTTAGCCAATGAGCTTTTGACAATGAGCTGAAGAGGTCTGAAGTCACCTTACACCAAAATGAGTTAGAACTCACCTGAGAACAGTTGAGAAAAATACAGCTTTCTCAGCACCACGGCCAAAGAGATGATTGTTTGTCAGTATAAAGAGGATTCCCACAATAATTCTAGTATTTAGTGCAGGCATTCTTGTAGAGAGTATGGATATATGCCTGACAACAGCATCTCCCCCTCCTTTTTTTCTGCCTTTTGGAGATTTGAATGATCACACCTACAGAAATTAGCTGCATAATTCCATTACTACAGAACCTGGTTGATTTATATCGTTTCCTTCATACTTTTGTTAATGTGAATTAAAGCAGGGAGAATATGGTCTTGTCCGTATGGATTCACACACTCCTTATCTCATGGCTACTGCAGTTAAGTTCAGTTTCATTGAAAACTGAAGATGAAATCTGAATTCTCATGAAATTAATTGTTTTGCTGTTTATTAGAGTAGCAAACCAGGCAAGTATGAAGTTAAATTAATCACTCTTCATTAATTATTATCAGGAGAAAAACTGATGTTAATTTTTATATTCTTTGAAGTGCTTTGTTTCAAGGTTGAACTTGTTTAGAAAACAGGTTGAGTGCTGAGGACCATATTGATACATCCAGCACTGGATCACAGAGGCCTCCTGCTGCAGTTCTCCTGGAGTCAACAAAGAAAGGACAGAAAATAAAATCTGGCCTCTATTAGCTGTGTCTGACGCAATAGCTTAAAGTTCTCCTTCTGAATTATAACAGAGTAGCCAGACCAAAAGGATTAAAGTTGGACAAAAGTGAATATGATCAGAAGTAAGATTTTCACAGACCCAATAAATATGCTTGTAATGGCCTGGTACAAAAATCTATTTTCCAGACAATACACACCTTCAGAAACTAAGAAAAAAAATTAATCACTGGAAAATACGTAGGTAACAGAAGAATTTGATACATTTCAGACATACAGTACTTCAGAATCAACTTTAATCTTCAAAGATTTAAGAAATGAGGTAATGCGCTCCATTCCCTTGGCTTCCCTCAGTCACAATGATGTATATAACATACACATCCAGTTTTTAGATAATCTCAAAAATCACTTACAAATCTAAGAACCAGATTCCACCTTCAAACATTCGCACAGCTACCAGTGAACTGAATTCCCAATGACTCTGCTCAGAATACACTGAACTAAGTTCAGCTTAATTTAGACTGCAGCCCTGAAACAAATTTGCATGACAAAAAATCAAGTTCTGAACAGAAGTTGAGAGAAGCCAATTGTAGAACAGCCATATTTTCCTGTGGCCAGAGATGCAGAACATGAACATTTTCAGAAAGCAGAAAGAGGCAGACTAAGAATAGGATCAGAGGCGAACACCAGAAACACTTTGTAGGGTGACTCCATTTTAAATAGAAGGCTAAAGATAACTTTGTTAATGGATATCATACAATGACATTTTGCAGTTCAGTATACCCAGATGAGATAAAACTGGTGCTGAGTGCCTCTGCCATGAACACACATGGTACTGTGATTGCTGTTTTTTTTTTTTATTTTGGACTAATGACCCAAAGGCAAGGACAGTATCCTCTCTTATGCCAACAGGCATTAAGGACTCCAACCAGCCACTAGAGCTAGCTAGGCTGATGCCATGTTCTTGCTCTTCCTCGCTACACTTCCTAGGAAAGCCTGGGCAGATTTTCCAGGGGTGTTCCAACTGAAGGCTTGAATTATTTCTTCCTGGCTTGTAACACAGACACTTCTGGCCCATGGTCCATGCTGCTAATTTCGGACATCAAGGATATGTTTGCTCTTTGCTCCACTTGCTTAAGATTCTGTTGGAAAAGATGAGGGGACATAACCTGCTGGTGTGATGCTCTGCAGAGAAAGACCTGGGGGTCCTGGTGGATGACAGGTAGGCCATGATGACCCAGCAGTGTGCTCTGGCAGCCAGGACGGCCAATGGCATCCTGGGGTGCATTAAAAGGAGTGTAGCCAGCAGGTCAAGAAGGTGATCTTCCCCCTCTACTCTGCCCTGGTCAGGCCTCACCTGGAGTATTGTATCCAGTTCTGGACTCCCTAGTACAAAAAGACAGGGATCTCCTGGACAGAGTCCAGTAGAGGGCCACAAAGATGATAAAGGGTCTTGAGCATCTCCTCTATGAGGAAAAACTGAGTGAACTGGGTCTGTTCAGCCTTGAGAAAAGAAGACTCAGAGGTGATCTTATTAATGATTATATTTATATTTATCTTAAGTGTGGGAGTCAAAGGGACATGGCCAACTTATTCTCAGTGGTCTGTGGGGACAGGACAAAGGGAAATGGCTATAAACTTGAGAAAAGGAAGTTCTGCACCGATATGCAAAGGAACTTCTTCTATGTAAGGGTGACAGAGCACTGGAACGACCTGCCCAGGGTAGTTGCGGATTCTCCTTCTCTGGAGATATTCAAGACTTGCCTGGATGCCTACCTGTGCAGCCTGCTGTAGGGGACCTGCTTGCAGGGGCATTGGACTCAAAGATCTCTGGAGGTTCTTCCAACCCCTACAATTCTGTGACTCTGTGATTCTATGATAAGCTTTGCTAAGGAATGAAAGAAAGAAGGGGAAGAAGAATGGAAGCAAGAAATTGAAACAAAACTTAAACAAACAAGAAACAAACACAAAAAAAGGACTTCTAAAAGGCAACAGTGTAGAAAAAAAGTAAAGAAGTACATGAGATTATTTTCATTTCCCTTCACCCTATCATTGCAGGTACACTCACACCACATTTAAATGCTGGTTGTCTTTACAAGCTGCTTTAAGATCTGGCTCTGAGCACAGGGATCTCTTGTAGCCACCTTGTCAACTTCACATTGCTACAACAATGCAGAGAGGCATCATGTAAACAAGAGCTAATGTCCATGACCATATCTTACTTTCCATAATTCTGCAGTTTCATTGGACACACACACTAATCCTGTACTAGAAGTTTGGATGGCACACTGTACACAGCTAGCAAAGAAATGCAGGTACTTCTCAAAAGCTTTTTGGACTAGAGTGATGAGAGTTTACCTTTCCGTGGCTGACTGTCCAACAAAGCAATGGTGACCTGACATAGGGAAAACATACATAACTGTCAATTGCAGTGAAAGATTTGTATAAATGCCACTGATTACATTAGTCTAGTAAAGGCTCACGGTCATCACAGCTCTTCATTTTTCTAAAGGTTCAACAATCTCCAAAGAGGACAAGGATACACAAATGTCTAATACTAAAAAAAAACCCCAAAACCCAATAGCTGTTTCTCCATACCTTCCTGTTATCCCTGTGCCAAGACAGAAAGGAAATGTGTAGTGATACCCAGCTTCTCACAATCTAGACATACTTACACTGTAAGTAACATTATGCAACCAATCAGCTTCCTTTGCCTAGACTAAACATGTCAAATCTTATCGGCTATATCCAAGCATCAAAGATTGTAGCAAAGCTTCTGTATGTGAACACAGTGCAGATACGGCTCAGTATCTGAAACCTAATGAAAATATACTGCTCTGTTCACTAAAAATGTTTAGGCAAGAAAAGCTCAGTATATTTCAGTGCATAATCTCCAGAAGGCTTAAAAATAGCAATGTAGATAACATACCTAAATGGGTGTAAGGAAAAGGAAACAAAGTTTTATGGTTTGAACAAAGAGCTGATGAACATAATTACTGTAATTAATAGGAAAAATATTCTAATCAAAGAGAAACATTTTTTTCCGCAGAGACAATAATATTTTTATTTAACAAATGTACTGGAAAAATTATTTTCCCATAAAGACATACAGATATGCCCCAATTCCCTAGATTTTCCATTCTCTCAAATAGCTATGATTTCTTGAAATCAGTTTAATGAACAGAAGGGGATATATGCGGAGATGTCAAACTTATTTTTGCTGTAAACCAGATGACTCCATTTACCACTAATCCCCAGATAACTGATCAAGGAGCCACCAAGAGCTTGCAGAACCCTTCCTCGTGCTTTATAGAGAACAGATTGTTCACATTATTTTAACTGTCCTCTGCTTCTAGCCATGTGAAAAGAAAAAAAAGACACTACTTCCATAATACCTCTTTTTCCCTACTGGCAATTGTTGAGGTTACCACAGGATTGCTTTGGCTTTTGTATTTTTACAAGTGCACGTAGAAGAACATTATTTCTCTACTAAGATGCACTTCAAACAATAGAAAACTTTCATGAAACCCTGTCTTGAAAAATCGAGAACAGACTCCACAGCATTCATCTTTCCATAGTTTACTCTTGACTGAAAAAAGTTTATTTTGTTGTTGTTTTTTCCTGAGAATTGTCTTCCTTTGTACTTTGAACCAGCTCCTTATTCTCCTCCTTCTGTCACTGCCTACTAAACATTGTGATGCTCACTGGTAGGTACTGACAGGATTGCCACCTCCAGCCATGCCAGACTGTAAAGCATGGAAGAGATGACATGATGGAAGTGTCTGAAATAGTTATACAGGAGTGTCCCACAATTAAATATTCTTTGGTTTGGCAGAGAGAAACAGCATCTGCTGCTAAGATCTGCTCTGCATACTTGTGAGTGAATAACTTTTCCTTAAGAGAATGTCCACTAACATTCACAGCAGCCTGGAAATGAAAAGTCACTAAATGTAAATCCAATTCCGTATTAAAAAAAACAAACCCTTAGAAACATATGCTTTAAGAGGGCTCTTCTCACCAAAAAATTAATTAATTACAGCTTTGCATTACCAAACTCTGAAGAAGAAAGCATAATGTTCCCTCAGATGTGAAGCCCAACTCAAAACTCAAAGGAGGAGTACTTACTAAGTACTTACTTTTCTGAGAAATTCATTGCCTGCCTGATTTGTCAATTCTTTATGGTCTGAAACCAATATTTCCCCAGCTGTTTTTGGAATGTTTCAGAAAGAAAAGAACATAAACTTTGGCCCTATTAGGGTTAATGCTTTTGCATAGACATATATGACCATAAACTGGTCAACTAGTAGAGGTCTTCTGCTAACATTGTGACTGAGAACAAGAAGAATACAGCCACAATAATATACAGCTATCTACTAAAAGTACTGCATACAGACATCTTTGGCCATGCAGTCTCTTGGCCTTCTGAAAGTATGTGAGCTGCATTGCTAACATGACAAAAAAAATAGCAATGTTGAGAATTAGAAAGAGGCGAGTATAAGAAGCTGATATTGATGGGGCACTACTTCGAGTGGTTGCCACCAACTGTGCCAGCCCTGATCGGCCCTTGATTGAAACTCCAGTTTTGTGCTTCACATAAGTAATATCTGCAAAATCCAGAAGATCTTTCATTTCCTCATCTTCATCAACAGGCAACTCTTTTTGTGCTTGAGTCTGTGCCTTCTGTCGCACTTTTCTTTCATTTACCTCAATTTGTGCAAAAATGTCAGGAACAGCATCAACAAATTTGTAACCTTTGGATACTTTTCTATTTTTCTTTGCTCTTCCACGCTGCTGCTGCTGCCTCTGTGAGATTGCAAATATTCTATCAATGGCCTCCTCCGTCTGTCTCTTATCTGAAAACCTCAATAGGCGTTCAGCAGTCTTTCTAAAGCTAGCTGTGTTTCGTACACGAGACAAGATCTGCTTTTCAAGCTGCTGGAAAACAGGCTTAAAATGCTGCAGGTTCCTCTCCACGATCCCAATGTAGTCCTTCACTTCTGGCACTGCAAAGTTCCTAATGGCAGACGTTCGGTCAAAGACAATTTTCTGACGGCCTACAGTAACCTGTGCAAAGGCAGAACGAGGCCCATCCTCCACCGTCCACAGGTAAACTGCATAGGAATGCTCACCGGTGGTAACAAAAACATCCAGCTGCCGAGAGTCTGCACGGACAGTGAAGCTTTGCACATCGATGGAGGGCCCAATGAACAAGTAAATGGCTCTGGTGATGGGGTGCCGCAGGAGGGTCGTTACATTCACATAGTTTGTTCCATTATAAGGGTAGCCCCGGGGATACATTCTTGAGGCAATGGTAGCTTTCTCGCTGTGGCCAGTGTCATCCATCCAGTACATCTTATATATTCCATCACGATGTCTAATGAATGCCCCATGAATCTCATCAACAACTGTTTCTTCAAAAGGCACATCCACATTGTGGAAGAAACTAGTTGCTGCTTCCAGAGGGCTGTCATCTTCTAGGTGGATTTGGTCCACCAGCAACAAAAGTTGAGGATGAAGAAGTATGAGGTTTCTTTGCAATTTTCTCAGCTTCAGTTTAGGATTGTATGCTCCCACTCCTTCTCCCCTGATAAAAACCACCCCGCTTCTCTCCATGGCAGCAACCACTCGTCCCTGACAGTCACCAGCCAAATCATGTTTATATTTAAGCCATTTCGAAGAACAGTCCTCTGTAACCTGCCCTTCCCATGGGGAGAAGCAGCTCTTGGACACAGCAGGAGAAAACATCAATACATTATTAAAAAAAGTATATTTTGGCCCATACAGAGCTTCTGTAATGAAAGGTACGCCATTGGGAGCAAAAGTAAAGGAGTTCTGGTCTGGGTGTTCATGGCCAGCGTTAAAGTTCCTCCATCCCTTGATCCACTCTTTGTACTTGTTCTTATGAACAATATCATATATTGCACGTCCTCCCAGCTTTCCTGACTTGAAGGAAAGGAAAGGCCTGTTGATTTCAGCTGGCAAAGCACTTCCGTAGGTTACCACTCCCCAGTCCTCAAAGTAATGCAGCTTTGGAACCCCAAAGTCTGGCGGAGGGATGGAGCGCAAACTTGCATCATACCTGCCAAAATGATGAGGGAAATAGTTTAAAAATCACTTGACTAATTTCACTATCAACACCTACACAAAATTCAAAAAACAATTCATTACTTGTATCAAAGAACAACCTAACAATATAATGCCCACCAATGTCCTTCCTGAGCAAAAAAAGCCTATAGTTGTAATGATATATATGCTACCAATCCCTAAGTAAATTTGAAGGAGTCAAAAGCATATACTGTATGCTTTTTATAGAATAATAACTGAAAGTATCTACTCCACACTTACAAGTAATCCTTTTGCAGTCCAAAAATAAGAGTATGGTGAACTTCTCTCAAACAAGCCACATTTTGTTTTGTATCATAAAGCTACTGACTGCAACATAAATACTTTAAAAGGCACATTAGAAACAAGCTGTAGGCACTGTTTTGCATTGGACATCAGCATTTGCATCTATCTGCTTGCTACTTAACCAGAAGAGTCAAAAAGAGCATCTGTTTCACCCAAACTGATGATCATAGGAAGTCTGTAGCCTCCAAACAGAATTGGGAATTAATTAAAAAATTAATGAAAAAGCATTTTAGATGATACATTTATATGATTTATATAATTTAATTTACATCACTATATTATTTTCCTTTTCCAGCTATGCTGAAAAAGAAATTTACAGCTTTCTTGTATAAATTGCAAGACATAAAATATCCGGTTTAAAAGGAGGTCTTCATTCCTTCATTGCTTGATTCACAGAAATTAAAATAACTCACCCCCAAAAAGTATGTGAAACAAAGCCCAATATTATTTTTAAGTAAGCAAAACCATTATTGAACTCAATAGTATTTTTACTAGATGATTTCTCATCAGAATTATTCTCTGCAGCTAACGAGGAGCCCCATCAAGCTTTTAGCCAACCTCAGCTCATGTCTGGCAAAGGCTTCATTGTAGAGTTCAGGTCTTTATTCTGTAGTTAGTGTTCTTTGATGGAGATCTTCCTAAAAGCAGACCTTTTTTCCTAAGACTCCAATGCAAGGGGATGTGCTCATCAAAGGAGCAACATTGAAGCACAAGGAAAAGATAGTTGTTGGGATATTCAGAGCTTTTTTAGTGTGGGCTTTTTGTGTGTGTGTGTATATGCGTGTGTATATGCATGTGTGTTTTGTTTTTTGTCTTTTTTGTTTTGACCCACATGCTCTTAAAAAATGTCTTTTCCTTTAGCATCGGGAAGAAATTGTAAATATAAATTTCCAAGATTTCCATGGACAAACAAGAAAAGAAGATGTATGACAGCAGTCATAAAGGAAAGATTCTCTATTTTGCAAATAACAAGCTGAAGTGTGCTATGAGCCTAGAAAAAAATTTTAATATCTATAACATAAACACAAACCAACACATTCAATAATATTGCTCTTTTAAGAGAGAGAAATAGAGCTATATTGACTCCTCAGAAATGTGTTTTTTTTCTACAAACTGAGGGAATTTACATGTACATTTGTATGTACATCTTGGATCATACTTCTTACCTTCTGTAGACTGACAAAGAAGTTAAAAGGGTGTAAATAACATGGAAGATATAAATCTAGTCATTTATCACTTTTTTTTTTTCTAAATTTGGCCTGCAAATTAGTGTGGTCACACAACTAATAATAACGCTATCTTTTACATTACTTCAGCTTTTCAAAGAACATTTATATTAGGACTTAGAGTTTTTAAAACACAACTACACTTTAAATATCTGCCTAATTAATCACTAAAAAACATAACAGAATTAAACATCAGAATAGACCAGATAAACCAAAGAATATATGCAGGGATGTTTCCTTTTATAACTGCAACAGACAATGGGAGGAAAACTCAAAAGCACACACAGGATAAGACTAAGGTGTAATCTGTAGCAATGCACACTGAACCTCTAATGCTAAGTTAAGAAGTTCTTCTGAGCCTAAAAACTCTGTCCTACACACGGCCAGCATAGCATAATCTCTGCCTCTGCAGAACAAACCTAAAAATAACATCTCATCGCAAATGGCAAGCAGCCATCCAGTCCTTTTTGAGCCCACTCATTTCCTTTCATACCAGAGAAATTCAGTGTGGAGGGTGCACCACCTCTGCCCTTTGGATGGAGTCCCCGGGCCCTCCACCACCCGGTTCCTCCTGATCTGGTCTGCCAACCAGTTCCCGCTGCCATTGCGCATGACGAATTTGTCGAGAAACACCAGCTGGCTCTCTGGCCCGTAGAACCAGTTGTAGTTGGAGTCTGCAATGGCCACAGTCCTCTGAAAGCCTTGGGAAAAAGTTAAAAGGAATGTGAAAAAGAACAAATAAACACAGATATGTTTGTAAAGCATGAAGATGAAGCCAAGCGGTACAAACAGACACAAACAGAAGCTGACTTTTATGATGTTTATACTCATAAATGAGCCATAAGTTACACAGGAGCTGTTTGCTTCTGCTGTAGATAACTTGAACAGTCACCTTTCTTCTTTGGCTATAGGCAACAACCAGTCAAAGTGCAACAAAAATATAAAAGGCAATGTCCCATCCACTCACTCAGATCTTGCAACTTTCACTCCTATGTCAATCCAAACTCTCCAAAGCAACAAAAGAAAGGTCCTCTCAAGAAAAAAAAAAACAACAAACCAAACCAAAAACTCCAACCCAGCCTTCATCCTGAAATAATTAAAATGAGTTTCCTTTGCTCTTTAGGAACCTCTCCCCAGTACATTCTCTCCCCTGCATTCAGTGCAGTCCCTTACACATTTGTGCTGGCATGCTAAAGCAGCAATCACCGCCCTCATACATGGAGCTAATTATTAATACATATTAAGTTATCACACTATCTTTTTAAAGAGAAGTTTAAACAATATAAGCTCCCAATGAATTGTCCTATGAATAAGCAGCACAAAATCATCACTGAGAACTTTCAACGCTACCTGAAACTGCATCTTATCTGAAAGTTACAAGTAGCTGGGAATATTTATTAGATTATACTGTTTGCATATTTATAGATCTCCATCTTTTAGTCAAAATTAGGATTTCCTATCAGAGATGCTGAACACACTGTGTGACAATGGAGAGATTTAGCATGAAAACAGAAACAGTCTGCAAAACTGACCCACCAGAGGTGCCCAGTATTTCTGTTTAATTCTCACATGGACAAAAGAAAATAGT